TCACCCCCGGTTGCATAGTGTACCTTTAAAGCCAAGGGACACAGCGATAAAGTTATGGAGAATTATTAAACAAAGTGAGGTCATAAAACGATACCCTCAAGATTTTACAACACCCTACAGCTCAGTTTAGTTCATTAAATGACAAAAATAATGGGTATGACCTACATTTCCCAAGAAATGGCTGACCACCTGTGGAGCGTTAATCGGAGAACCAAACAAGACGCTCTGGATGGATTTTTATATGTCTAAAACGTGCTATTTTGTATTTCAACAGGATTTAGATTTGTGTTGAAATTTGTGTTTGTAAAGGGAAAAAAATGTCAAAACATTCAAGTGTCACGGCTGATTTTGCAAGGCACTGTGCAGATTTAGTGAAGTAACACACCCTTCTCTTACTGAGGCTTCTCTCAGCACTGATCTGATGTCAGCCTGAGGTAGGTGGGAAAGCAGCAGTTCTAGTATGCCAGGACTGTCCCAGCATTCCTGCAGCAGCAGGTCCAGGAGAAGCTTCAGAGCTCGGTTGACCTGCATGATGCAGACACTGCTCTGCTTTTCAGCTCGTCTTGAATGATGCAGCAGAGAGGCAAAACGGGCAGCTTTCTGCCTCACCTGCTGGTTCTGATCCTGCAGTAGGTACAAGCCTGTGTTGATCAACCTGCACCAGAAAAGTGTTCCAGATCTTTTAAGCATTGCAACCGGAGACAGTTACTGAAGACTAAACAACATGATACGATTTCCTTCATACCTCATCATGACTACAGGGAGAGAGCTGTGCTCTCTAAGGCTGTTGATAAGAGGGACACCAGCTGCACAAAGAGCCTCACCACACACCAATCTGAGGACTTCTGGGGCCTCTGCAGTCCGCTGAATTTCCAGAATACCGCACCAACGTTGAAGAACTGATGCCTTTAGACTACTTAGAAAAAAGCGAGATGAGTTAACATGGACTAGAATTATAAAAAAAGAATTCAAAAGAAAAAAAAATATACAAAAATTATAAAAATAACCTGGTGCTATTTGATGATAATTGGGAAAATAGTAGACTAGCAGCATATAGAGCCTGAGACAGGAACTCCGGTCCACCTTTCTGAACCTCTAAGTCCTGAAGTAATAAATGCAAACACTCCAACAGGCAAGGCTCCGTGTCGGAAAGAGGCTGAGGCAAAGCAGCGCCACCATCAGCCATCACAGCAACCAGAGCTGCGAGGTACTTGGTACGATAATCCACACTGTCGTCCAGCAAAGCTTCCTTCAAGTTTAACTGGATATAGAGAAAATTTAAAAATGACCATCAGTTAATAGGTCTAACAGGTGCTAAATACTAAATTCACCCTGAAATATAGTGAACTAGACAACAGAAAGCAAATATGGATTTAGCTCTAAACTCTGACTTATTCTTGAACAAGGTTTGATCTAAAAGAACAACTGCTTTACAATGAAGCATATATATTATATTATCAAAACAATCACCTACTGACACATTCATTTATCAAAGGAGAAAACACACATTTAAGCGCAAACAGCAGTTTCAAAAACATCCAGACTAAGTTAGATGTTTGTCACACAATAAGCTGCTAGACTGGTCTTTTTTGAAAGCCTCTTTTGTATTCAGGTTGTTAGTTCAGTTCTGCGCTTTACCTGCAACACCCTCTGGATCAGTTCTTTCATGTCAGCCTGCTGCAAACTCTGTTTATCTAGCAGCCACGTGACCATTGAGAGCCTCAACTCAGGAGAGGCTGCAGAAAAGTTCTCCCAGATTTGACGAGCCCGAGTTGGATCTGCACAGAGGAATTCAAGGGCTTCTTGATGGAAGGATGCCAAGCCAATCTATTGAGAGCAGAAAGTTAAAGTTTATTCAAAATTTCTCTTTTTTCTAAGTCATTGTTTTAGTCCTAAAGAGACCAATCAATATAAAAACAATCTTAATTTAGAACACACCTCGAGACCCTGCTGAGGTGCATAGAGATCATGCATGAGTCTGTCACTTAGCTGCAACAGAAAGGAGTCACAGGAATGTCTTCTGAGAGATTCAGCAACACTGAGGTATACTGCTCTCACTAGGAGGCAGCGCTGAGCTGTGGTCCCCAACCACATGGAGGCCTGCATTCTGCTCACCACCTCACATAAGTCAGCAGAAACGGCACTACCAACATAAACACAGCAGAGCTTTAGGGCTGGGGAATATCTGATGAATATTTCAGCACCCTCTGTATTTCCATCTCACCTGTCAGGGCAGAGAGCTCGCTCCAGGAGGGCTTTAATCTGAAGCAGCTGGCCGTGGAGTCGATTGTGGCATAAGGACTCCTGTGGACCAGGGAGCTGAGAGGTCAGCTTCACGATGAGGTCCATGTACCCAGAAGGGGGTGTCATGGCAACCAGAGCTATGGAGGCCATCCTTCTCACACTATAAATGGGACTGGCAGAGAGCTGCAGTAATGGAGGCAGGTAGTCCAACAGCATCCTGTCAGAGAAAACATATATGGATATTCACAGTCAGAAAAGCTATTATTAGTTTAGGAGGGATTCACATGCAGAAAAAACTCCTATAACATGTTAGAATGAGATTCACAGCTGGATATTACGGTTAATCGAATCATTGCAAATCTATAATACCTCCCATTCAGACCGGAAACTGAGATGTTACGCTCTAGGTTATTGTTATCTATTATTCCACAAGTCTGCATGATTTCCTAAGAAAAACTAAATCTGCTCCAATCATAGTGTCTAGTTTTTTATTTTGTAACTGCCCTTTTTTATGCATTGAAGAAGCAAACATAAACAAAGGGATGACTAACATCACACCAGACTTCATGCTTCATAATGTTGCATACTGTTTACTGCACATGAATGAGACCTATTTAACATCAGTGGAATGGAAAGCAAACAATAACTACTGTGATGAGTCCTGAACTCCAGGCTGGAGTTGGGCCAGCAGAGTGAGGATGGGGTATAGTGAGGGCTGTAGATGCAGCTTCGCCCCAGCGGTCGGCTTTTGGACGTGTTCTGCTGCTTCTCTCAACTCGCCAAGGAGGAAAGGTTGAAGAGGAGGGTAGTGAAAGAAGAAGGCAGCAGGGGACATGCTGTGCTGGATGGGTCCGGTCTCCACACTGCTGGATCGCTGGCCAAGCATTCGAGAGCAAAGAGAACCTAAGACAGGACATTTTAATGAGTGTAGATTAGAGGTGGTCATAAATAAAATTAGTTCTATGTCTATTAATTCTTTACCTCAAGGTGTTATTTTATGATTATTTAACATAAAGCACATCATAATTACATGTGTTGATAGTGTTAGTCCATAGATGTATTTAATTACAAGTTTATGACCACTATTATGGAAACCACATAGATTGATGGATGGATAGGCACAAAAGAAAGAGAAGCAGATGGATTAGCAGACATATATGGACTGATGCAAGTACAGACTGATGGAAACAACTTAAAAAACTGAAACTCATGTCAGATGAAAACATTGATATTTCCAGAGTTGGGAAGAACTGGGTTGGAATGACTTAGATATATATATATATATATATATATATATATATATATATATATATATATATATATATATTA